GTACATGTTTGTATTAAATAAAATACACCCTGTAGGCTGGGTACAGGTTTGCATTAAATAATATACACCCTGTAAGCTAGATACCTGTATGAAATGTTTAATCTTTGTGCTGTGCTGGAGTCTCGCTAACGAGTTGTGAAGAAAGTTTCCAAGTTGTGAACTGATGTAAATACACCAAAGTTTCTCTCTCAACTAAAGATATTAGGATAACCCTGACGGGACAGCAGATAAATTGCACAAATATGCTACAGCAAAACAAATTTCGTCAATAAAGAATTTTTTTTGCCAGACTCTATTGAAATGTTTCATTAATTCCCATTTAAAGATTCCGAGCATAAGGAATACATTTATTAAATTTTCAAACTGTCCAGGTGTTCCATCTATAGTTTAGTCGAAATTTTTTGCCCTTAACCATCTTTGGAACCCAGCTTATCCGGTCCAAGGGTAGAGCACTGCACTCTCAGGGTTTTCTGGTTTATGAAATTATCAAAATATTGATCGCTGTTGGAACCTTTTATATGAGATAAACTTAGTAAGATAAAGGGACTGTTAGCTAAATGTTAATGGAGGCTCTATGTAAAGGAGACAATTACCGATTGACAACAGTACCCTTGAAACCTTTATCTGATAGATAACGCGGAATATATTGTAGTTTTTCAAGGGTTACAACTTAATAGTGATTTATTCTGATAATTTGTACATGTTTTCCTGCAGTAGAAATGCACTATCTCTTCTGAAGGGAAACCACATTTAAAACTAATCAGGGTTGAAAAGTGTTTTGTTCTGAATATTTCCCTTATTGTTTCTGAAATATAATTTTGTAAGCAAATTTCATATAGAAACCACACTTTAGCATAATTGATTTCCAGTCACTAAAACACGGATATCTCATTCATTATTGATCTATTTAAGGTTAAAAACGTATCCTTTTTAATATTTAAACTTAAAATTACAACAAAAATTTCGGTTCAACCGTTTGGTCGGCTATAAGGAACATATATACGAATGTTTTGTTTTATTATATAGATAGATATTATTTAGAATCTTTAATCTTTATTTTCAGGTGTTTGTGACGCTAGGGGAAGGAGTTGTGTTTGGAGAAGTTAGGAAATAAATCGGAATTTTTGTTGGATTTAAACCCTTTAATTGGATTAAATTTGACACGGAGTTAAACAGATTTAAACCCTTTAATTGGATTAACTTTGACATGGAATTAAACAGATTAAAACCCTTTAATTTAATTAACTTTGACACGGTGTTAAACAGATTTAAATCCTTTAATTGGATTAACTTTGACATGGAATTAAACAGATTTAACCCCTTTAATTGAATTAACTTTGACACGGTGCTAAACAGATTTAAATCCTTTAATTGGATTAACTTTGACATGGAATTAAACAGATTAAAACCCTTTAATTGAATTAACTTTGACACAGTGTTAAACAGATTTAAACCCTTTTATTGGATTAACTGTGACACGGTGTTAAACAGATTTAAACCCTTTAATTGGATTAACTTTGACACGGAGTTAAACAGATTTAAACCCTTTAATTGGAATAACTTTGACACGAGGTTAACCAGATTTATAAGTTTTATATCAAGTGTATTTAAACGGTAGTCCCAAGAGTGTGTTGCAGAAGGTAGTCGATCTGAAATATAACTGTTAAATGTCTCCCAGTATCAATCTTATTGTTTACAAACATGTCTTACGAATTCTGAACTTTTTTAATTCATCAATATTCCCCTGTACCCCTTCCCAAAAATTTAAAAAGGATAAAAAGTTATCTACTGGTAAAAAAATATATCCCTGTATCCCAGTATTCTGAACAGAATCTAGTATATACCTGTGTCCAAATTTTCTAAACAGAAACTGATTTATCCACGTGTCCCAATGTTCTAAACTATATCTGATTTATCCCTGTGTCCCAATATTCTAAACATAATAAGATTTATCCCTGTGTCCCAATATTCTATATTGAATCAGATTTATCCCTATGTCCCAATATTCTAAATTGAATCAGATTTATCCTTTATGACCCAATATTCTAAATTGAATCAGATTTATCCCTGTGTCCCAGTATTCTAAACATAATCAGATTTATCCCTGTGTCCCAATATTCTAAATTGAATCAGATTTATCCCTGTGTCCCAATATTCTAAATTGAATCAGATTTATCCCTGTGTCCCAATATTCTAAATTGAATCAGATTTATCCCTGTGTCCCAATATTCTAAATTGAATCAGATTTATCCCTGTGTCCCAATATTCTAAATTGAATCAGATTTATCCCTGTGTCCCAATATTCTAAATTGAATCAGATTTATCCCTGTGTCCCAATATTCTAAATTGAATCAGATTTATCCCTGTGTCCCAATATTCTAAATTGAATCAGATTTATCCCTGTGTCCCAATATTCTAAATTGAATCAGATTTATCCCTGTGTCCCAATATTCTAAATTGAATCAGATTTATCCCTGTGTCCCAATATTCTAAATTGAATCAGATTTATCCCTGTGTCCCAATATTCTAAATTGAATCAGATTTATCCCTGTGTCCCAATATTCTAAATTGAATCAGATTTATCCCTGTGTCCCAATATTCTAAATTGAATCAGATTTATCCCTGTGTCCCAATATTCTAAATTGAATCAGATTTATCCCTGTGTCCCAATATTCTAAATTGAATCAGATTTATCCCTGTGTCCCAATATTCTAAATTGAATCAGATTTATCCCTGTGTCCCAATATTCTAAATTGAATCAGATTTATCCCTGTGTCCCAATATTCTAAATTGAATCAGATTTATCCCTGTGTCCCAATATTCTAAATTGAATCAGATTTATCCCTGTGTCCCAATATTCTAAATTGAATCAGATTTATCCCTGTGTCCCAATATTCTAAATTGAATCAGATTTATCCCTGTGTCCCAATATTCTAAATTGAATCAGATTTATCCCTGTGTCCCAATATTCTAAATTGAATCAGATTTATCCCTGTGTCCCAATATTCTAAATTGAATCAGATTTATCCCTGTGTCCCAATATTCTAAATTGAATCAGATTTATCCCTGTGTCCCAATATTCTAAATTGAATCAGATTTATCCCTGTGTCCCAATATTCTAAATTGAATCAGATTTATCCCTGTGTCCCAATATTCTAAATTGAATCAGATTTATCCCTGTGTCCCAATATTCTAAATTGAATCAGATTTATCCCTGTGTCCCAATATTCTAAATTGAATCAGATTTATCCCTGTGTCCCAATATTCTAAATTGAATCNCAGGTAAAAGGGACTGTCCTCCTAATTACAAGATAATCAGGTAAAAGGGACTGTCCTCCTTATTTCAAGATATTTCAGGTAAAACGGACTGTCCTCTGAATGTAATAAACCCTTACTCCAAGTATTGGATCTGAATGTAATAAACCCTACTCCAGTTTTGGATCTGAATGTAATAAACCCTACTCCAAGTATTGGATCTGTATGTAGTAAACCCTACTCCAAGTATTGGATCTGAATGTAATAAACCCTACTCCAAGGTCACTTTAGTATTCTCGTCACACTTCTACATTCAAAACTTTTCTCTGGATCCTGGATCTAGGAACTTAAAGAGAAGAAGAATAAAACTCTTCTTACAGTTTAGTTTACTGCCGGTGAAATAGGAAAGGTGGATGTTGCGGTTTTTGTTAACATTAAAAGCACAAATATTTTGATTCAGCCAGGACACATTTAATCTGGGAGCAAAGAATTCTATCAGATAAATAATAGAAACAATTTGTATTATCCAAGATTCTTCATTTTCGAGAATGCAATACTTGAAGTAGGGTTTGCTACATGCAGATCCAATACTTGGAGTAGGGTTTGCTACATTCAGATCCAATACTTGGAGTAGGGTTTGCTACATTCAGATCCAATACTTGAAGTAGGGTTTGCTACATTCAGATCCAATACTTGGAGTAGGGTTTTCTACATTCAGATCCAATACTTGAAGTAGGGTTTGCTACATTCAGATCCAATACTTGAAGTAGGGTTTACTACATTCAGATCCAATACTTGAAGTAGGGTTTACTACATTCAGATCCAATAAACATTGAAGATAGAGTCATATTTGGTCTTTCTTTTCATAAAAAAACTTATTTAATAATTTTCTGATTTGTTACTGTTATGTCTCTGAAAATGTGACCTGAGTTCTAACATTTTTTAACAACTTTTTAAGGCTTTAATCTTTGCCACAAACTCTAATTTTCTAATCCAATATCTTTGCAACCTTATGTTGTGGACCTTTTCAAACTATAATTCTGAAAGATCAAATAATCTAAATTTTACAGGTTTACAAGATTAGGTCGCTAAGATTTAAGGATTAGAAAATTAATTTAGGAATTAATTAAATCCATTGAAGACACAAGAAACAGAGAACTGTTTTATCTTGGGATTTACAATACAACAGTCTTAACCTCTGGACAATTTTTAATGGCAATTATTACAAAGAAATTGAGTCTTTGCCACAAACTCAGATTTTCTTATCCCTACTCCTTTGCAACCCAATGTCGTCTAAACCTTAGATATTACAAACTATGAATTCTGTTAGATCAAATAATCTTAGTTTCACATAACATTACTATATAAATATAGGAGTGAAAGTTATTGGCATTTCAAATTTTTAAATTTTCTTATCTTTATGTAAAATTAATCAGAATTTCGTGTGCAAAGTGCGTTATATAATTCAAAGGATTTTAGAAAATATCATAAATATCTACACTAAAATACGGAAACATATTTTTAAATCTAGAAAAGTTGGAAATTTTGATGAAATGAATATTTATGAAGTCCGCACATTTTTATATATTTTTTTTGCAGTCAATTTCAGCAGATTATATTTACAAATCTAAAGTACATTAAAAATATATATAGACTCAGCTGTTTTCATAAAACCCTTGTGTAAATCCTTAAATATATTATTTTTTTAACAAAACATTCCGAAGGTTTACTTTCTGTTTAGATTTGTTCAGTTTGAGTAAAGACGACCTCTGGGAAGCTCTCTCTGAATACCCGGAAGCAAAGAAAAACCTTCTGGAGAAAGGGAAACAGATTCTAGAAAAGGTTTTTCAACTTTCTTCTTAAACTAACAGATTTAAAGGGAGTGTTCTAGGATTTGAAAGGATATAACTAAAAGTCTGCAAAAATTATTCCTTTTCTTATTATTACTTAACCCCCTTTCAAAATTCATGACCAATCCCATATCAAACCAGAAAAATAAAGAGTAGGGTACGAAAAAAATCTTGGCAACCTGATCTTGTAGACCTTTGATTAAACCTTTTGTATTTGATCTAACAGAATTCATGGTTGAAATATGAAAGGTCTACGAGATCTGGTTGCGAAGATTAAAATATCAGAGTTTGGCTAAAACTATAAAACCAGGGAAAAGAAAGACGACATTTAAGCATTTTTTGTATTTATCGTTTTATGTCAATGATATAAAGGAAAAAGTTTTACAAAATTTACTAAAAAAGAGAGGTTTTATTCGGTTGAAAACATAATGGTTTATATGAAAGAAATATAGATGATGGTTATGTTTTTTTTTATATTCCAGAAAGCGGCGTATCATGTAAAATTAGTTAACATTAACCTTCAAATCTACATAATCAGGATAACATTCACTTTCAAATCTATATAATCAGGATAACATTCACTTTCAAATCAATATGATCAGGATAAAATTCACTTTCAAATCTATATGATCAGGATAACATTCACTTTCAAATCTATATGATCAGGATAACATTCACTTTCAAATCTATATGATCAGGATAACATGATTGACGAGGAGAAAGCTAAAGCAGAAGCGGCAGCAGAAGAGGATACTAAAGCTACCCTTGAAAGATTAGAGGTTAGTAAGTATACTTCAGTTTTCTGCCGATTTTGGTCTTTGATATTTTAATTTTAATATTTGCTGTACACAGTGTACACAGTGATTTCAGGGAGGTAATCTTAAAAGTCCTTCTTAAATATCTTTTTTTTGGCATTTTTCGGCCTTTCCGCTTGTAATGTTTAGTCCAACTTTTTCCCGATTATTATATGCCAAAATTTCTGACCAAAAACTGGTTCCGGCAAAATGTATTTTTGACCAAAAAGGTTGTGCAAATGTTTGCCTGAAAAAAAATTCAATTTTCCCACAATTTTAGCACTTGATGTGACCAGTCAGTTGTATTTCCTTGATCGTTTCCTGATCGTTTCCTTGATCGTTTCCTGATCGTTTCCTGATCGTTTCCTTATCGTTTCATGATCGTTTCATGATCGTTTCATGATCGTTTCATGATCGTTTCATGATCGTTTCATGACCGTTTCATGATCGTTTTAAAAGATTCTTTAACGAAACGATCGTTTTGACAGGTGTTTTAAAAAAATCATCGACGCTTAAAACTATACCAAAACTCATATCTGTAGTATGTCACCAGTACTTTCACCAATGATGTTCCTATTTTTTATTTTGCTTGATACAGACGGAAATCATGTGAACAGTAGACTAACAGTCTGAATCCTATAACCTCCTTTAAATAAAATTAAAGTTGAGTCTATGAATTATGTTCACTATTCTGGTTATGTTCATTCTTCTCTCTAAATATCTAATTGTTCAGTACTAAAGTGAAAATGTTCCATTTATCTTAGAAACCCTTTACTCTTATCGTAGCTTCAAATTATTTCATTTTCAATGGAATACTTTCTCAGTTAGAACTATGTATATTATAATTTCTCAGTTAGAACTATGTATATTATAATTTCTCAGTTAGAACTATGTTTAGTATTAAAGCCCGGTTTTAGGCCTAAAGGGATGGCTTTGGGTATGTAAGAAAAGTCAGAAAATTTCAACAGCCTCAGACCAATACTTTTTGAGTTATGTAGAAAAAACTACAGGGGGGGGGGTCAAATTGACCCCCCCCCAGCGGGAATAGGGTTAAGAAAATCAGAACCATTTTGATTTCCCTTCGTAATTCATAATTTACCCCCACCCTAGATGGGTGGGGGTTAACGCATTTCCCTCTGTATACGCACCTAAGACAACAACAACTAATCCTAAAGAATAAAAGATTGTTTAAGTATTTTTTACCCTACTCTCGTAAAAGAAAAGTTATTGATAAAATGTTTAAAGAAAAGTGGGCGAAGTTTTAAGCGGAAACATTATCTAGCATCACTTCTCTTCTTTACTTAGAATATTGCATTACTGTATAAGAAGAAGAGAGCTCTCTCTTCGCAAACTTATAATATGTTTCAACTTTAATGTAAGCTTTCTAATGGAATAATCTAAAAGCTAACGAAATTTTAATAAATGGCAACAAAATGCCAATGTATCAATTATCAAGCCTGCAGTCGATTTTGTAATGTCGCAACGCCTGATTTACGTATATTTGATTTAACCCCAAGCATCATCTAAGAGCTATGATACACTTTTTTTAAGCTTTAGTTTTAAACAGGGTATAAGAATAAAGGTAAGGAAAATGGCGCTGGTCTAGCGCAGACTTGTTCGTTATTTCACAAGCACACTTTTTTGGTACAGACACGCAACATGACTACAGTCAAGGAAATTGCAGAACAATGTCGTCAATTATAAGTAAACTTAAATAATGAGTAGTTTATTGTAAACTTTAATCAAATAATATTCTTTGCATGAAAACTTGGCTTATAGTGTTTACTTAAATATATAAATAATGTATTGCATGTATATTGAACTTATTTTTAAGTAAACAATTAACAATAAACAAATGTACTATTCTTTACTGTACAAGTACCGAGATTCTCATGTACTGTATATACCTAGGTCCTAGACAGTACATGCCTTCGGTTCGGTATTACTTTCACACACTCTTTTGGTACAGACTACAGACACACATACATGACGTTTCCGCCCCCTGGTTTTAAATGAGTAATTGACAAATTCTCATCTGGTTTAGCGTAAGAGGGTGTAACCTTAGAATCACTGATTTATTTTCTCTATAACTTAAAAACAGCTTTTACTAGAGCTCTCAAACTTTTTCAACTTTTTTAAAATTCCATTCTGATTTTGTGGAATTAGTAAAGAAAGGAAAGTTTTCACAGAGAATATTTATTTCGCAGAAAAAGAAATTTGAATTCTTCACGCATTAGATTTACTCAATAACTTAAATTGGCTTTTTGCGGATAAATCTTAGAACATTTCAGCACTATTGGTTTTTTTGTGGGGGAGGGGGGGGGCGGGTAGCAAACTCAATATTCTTAAAAGTCAGGGGGAGAGGGAATGTTTTTGCCACATCACTGATTTTTTACTTATAATCTTTCTACAATTTTGATAAAAGTAAAAATATGAAATAAATTTTTATATTTCAAAAATTAACGTTTAATTTACTCAAAGTTAGAAATATACTTTTATGATATTAATCAAGCTTTTCAAAGGATAATCTAATATACTGAAAACTCCGTGGTTCGTTTCAAGTAAAGATCCAGCTTTTAGAAATTTAGAGCAATTTCTAAAAGGATACAGGGTTACTCACAAAACTTGAGACTTTGTTCAGTCTTAGTTCTATAATGTATAAGGCTCCTATACAAGTTTATTTTAATCAACTAAATTAGAAAATGAACCATTTAAAGCCGTTTTTTAATGTTTAAGCCTAAGCCATATCTGAGGTGGTTTAGATCTAACAGACATCATAACGATACAGTACTAATTATAAATTATTTGTTTGAGTTGAGAGATTGATGTACTAAAAGCTTAAAAAAATATTTTAGACTTTTTACATCCAATTAAAAAACTTATGATTTATTGTTCAGCTATCTTTAGTTTTCTAAACCACTAAAGTTTCTTGTCCACTGAGAGTTTAACCCAGAAGACATCGAAAGAATGTATATAATGTTGTTTTGACAATTATTCAAGTACAACAGGTGGCAACAGAGAAATGGATCAATTATAGACGACGTCACAAGTGTCAAATATAACAAAGAAAACGAAATTTACTTACATTATTTGACATGTTTTTTAAGATTAAATAAAAAAGTGTAAAAATAGAAAATAAATAAGACATAAAATTGCACCTTTTTCACTGTAAGATAAGCTCTTTATTCTAAAATTATCACTGTTATTAATAATTTTCTCGGACACCTGTGATGTATGAATACAGCTGTACTGAGAGTGTACAAATCTTTTGTACTTAACAATCCAAATCTTAGTAATTGTAAAATTAATAAATAAACACAGTTGAAAACTTTAGAAAGGATATCCTTAATCCCGATCGGTTAATTAATCTGAAGATTAAGAACAAGAGGAGAACAAGCATTTTTTAGTCTGGAGATTAAGAATAAGAGTGGATTAAGCATTAATCCCGATATCCACCATTAAAAAGTTCCCAGCTCATGAAATATACATGAACAGTTTAAAGAGCTCTATATATTATTATTCACTTAGGAAATTAAATATCTGAATCCTTATTGAAGTCTAGGTTAAGAAGACGACGTTTTATTTGTTCTTTTAATGTCTTCAAAGTTCTAGGTTAAACTATCATAGTAGTTCATAAAGCTGTCTGATTGTTCAATACTTTTAGATTTAAAGCATTTTGTGTCGCTTAACAAGGATTAAAACTTTTTCTTAATTTTTTTTTATTAGACAACGCTGGAACACCTCAGTGAAAGCTTGTCTGGACTGATGGCCGAATATTTAAGCTTTCAGGTAATCTAGTTTTAGGAAAGGAAATCGTCGCTGGATTAAAAAATAGTTTCTAGATTAAAAAATAGTTTCTAGAATAAAATCAAATTAAATCAAAATCAAATCAATTACTTCTGCAGAAAAACAATATTTATGAATTTAATTTTTACAAATCACAATTCACAATATATAAAATAATATTTTTCCCATCAGACGGACTCAAAACCCTGGAGCTGTTTTGGCTGAACCCACCTGTTTACCAAATGTTTTAATTGATTTATAAAGAAAAAAAAACTTAAAATAAGAACTTCGGAGAGAATCAGTGCAGCATGAATCAGATTTCAAAAATATAGTTTCTATATGGAAAAATAGTTTCTAGATAGAAAAATAGTTCTAGATAGAAAAATAGTTTCTATATAGAAAAATAGTTTCTAGATAGAAAAATAGTTTCTAGATAGAAAAATAGTTTCTAGATAGAAAAATAGTTTCTATATAGAAAAATAGTTTCTAGATAGAAAAATAGTTTCTAGATAGAAAGAATTCTAGATATGTAATATTAGAAAATAATTGGAAGCTAAGAAAAAAGTTTTTAGATAAAACAATATTTAAAAGTAAGAAAAAAAGTTTTAAAATTGAAAAATACGAAAATTAATATGTACATAAAACCATAAAACTGTGGACTTTAAACGTCGTACATTCATGGGTTGCAATGAAATATTAAATACTAGGCTTTTAGGGCGCTTCGCGCCCATCTTCTATTTAAATTATGAACATGTTCTTTTTGTTTACATTTTAAAACAAAGAAGAACAAAATTTTGCGGATTTAAAAAAAATCGCGGATTTTCAAGATTTTATTTTTTTTACAAAATTAAAAACCTTTAAAACACATTTTTTTAAATTTTTATCATTCATAAACCTTCCCTGTGGTCACTTGATGTCTTACAACAAATTTGGGCCCTATCGGTTCAGCCGTTTAGTCTTAGAGGGCGCTTCGCGCCCATCTTCTAAATTAGTTGTGAACATGTTCTCTTTGTGTACATCGTAAAACAAAACAAAAATAATTCGCGGACTTTCACAAAAAATTTCGCGGATTTTCAAAATTTTTTAAAATTAAATGACGATCGAATTTTGATGGAGACAAATATTGGAAATTTTGATTTTTCATAAACCTTCCCTGGGGTCCCTAGATGTCCCACAAAAAAATTTGGGCCCGATCGGTTCAGCCGTTTTGACGTTTATTGAATACAAACAGACACCCAGACAAGCCAAATTTATATATAGATGTAAATATAAATTATTTAAAAGCTTAATTTTATTTATTCTAGATGAAAATGAAGCAGAGAGTGTACACAGTTGAAGCCAAAACTGGGATTGTTTAATTGATTTTAAATATTTTCTCCCAACTTTAATTGTTTAATTTCATTCTCAGATTATACAATAATACAATATACAGGGTGGAGTTAGATCACATATTTTCAGTTAAGGAAGTAATTTCAAGCGACCTTTCCTTTCAACAATGACATGTTAGATTCTCAGTGGTACCCTGAAATAAAAAGCTTTGTCTGATCAAGCATGGATTTGATATATTTTTTTTTGAATTGACAATTTAAAGGGACTGTAAAGTAAAAATGAAAGGGGGTATAGGCTGAAAGCTAATCACTTTAGCTCTCGATCGCGACCCATGAAAGTTATATCTGATGTTTCTGTCTCGAGAAATTGATTTGCAACTTTGTCAAATTTATACGAAAATTAATATATATACAATTTTGTATAAAAGCAGTGGGTTTAAAAAGATCAAATTCAGCAAATATGCAACCAATCTGAAAACTATGATATCCCTGAGAAAACTAATTGTAACTTGGCAGTGCAGTAAAGTGGTCACGTGATACAGGCGGTTACACGTGACCTGTATACTGTTCGGCCACTGGTGATAGTTCTGGTCACGTGATTTAAGTTTAAGATTTTCTATTTTACATATATGAATTTTCGTATAAGTTTATCACACTTTTATATCAATTTCTCGAGACAGGAACATCAGATAAAACTTTCATGGGTCGCGATAAAGAACTAAAGTGATTAGCTTTCAACCTATAACCCCTTTCATTTTTCCTTTACAGTCCCTTTAAATTGTGGCTTTCTTAAAATGAAAATGTGGATTTTCCCCACAACACATTCACGCGCGCACCTCTGCCCCTTTAGTAAGATAAATTGAACCTATATGAAGCATTAAGTCTGACCGCGTCAACCTTGTTGCACCGGATAGTCCTGTCCATGTAGAGCTAGGTACAGTGCAAACTAGGACCGGAAAGGTTGACCCCACATAAATTCAGCCTGCTTATAAACAGTCTCATCAATTTTTAAGACAGGGTTGATTTTGAAGTGTCGCAACGCCCTAAGCTTAGATTTTACCGCTCTAACTCACTTATGCTTTTCTGTAGCCCTTTATGTGTACATTTTAGCACTGTAAAGCACTTGTTGTTAGCTTTGGTTTTTTAGAAGTAATTGGCAAAATTCTCAACAATTTAAGCTTGAGAGTGTGAGACCATTAAATCGCAGTGACCCGTGTACTTCAGCTGCCCGTGTATTGATCAGATAAGGGTTACAATTGGTTACCATGTCTAACGCACACACCAATCTATAATTGAAGGGGCATTTGAAATTATGTTTACAGTCTTTTAATAGTTTAAAAGAAAAGTCGCCAAGATCTATTTAGATAGTTATGCAAATTATATCTGTAAAAAAAACTGTGTATCATGTGGATAAACTTTACTATCTTCTTCACCCTGTATTTCATAAACATGATTTTAATAACTTATGTTACCCTCTGTTGTAACCCTTATACTCCCTCACCTCCTTACCATTTTCCTGATTTATCATCCTTCTTATGTTAAAAATGTACAATGTACATTGTTTTTATCTGCAATTCTCATTTGTTTATAGCGGGCCAACCAATTAAAACAACCTACTCTGGTTAGGCGGGTCCAAACTACATAGTAAATTGTGATTTTTTTATTTGTATTATCTCGAGCTCTGTAGTTGAATAAAAACATGAAATATGAAATATGAGTTTACTTAGCTCACAACCTGAACATTTTTTATTTCTATTCAAAATTCTGGTTTTCAGATTATTAATCTTTAAAGTTTAATGCCTAATCTGTCAACTCTACTTTTTGTCTTTAGATTTTAGTATTTTGTAAATACTAACTATGCAAACTATATAGCCTATAATTATACAAAAATGTTTAAATAAAAAATGCTGTAATTCATGTGATTCTTATAAACTAGTATGCAATGAAACCATAACTTTACCAAATAAATATTTCCTAAACATTTAAAAACTAAATGATAGCCCTGAGTAGTTCATAATTGGCACGCCAAAATTTTACCTAACAAACGATTTTACAGAACGATCGTTCATACCAATCCCAAGGTCATTAAAATTCTATAAGCCTTCACTTTCGATCCGATTTTCATTCAAATTACAAATTACTGATTGTCAAGCCGACATGTTGGATGCGCAATGATGTCGATCCATTTATAGCTTTGTTTGATATATAATGAAGCATGAAATCCATCATTTTCTTATTAAACTCATTAAAATATTTTCAATCCTGGTTTCTCTGATAATGACTCCTGTTTCTAAAATAATTGAGGAATCGAGAAACACTGTCCAATATAGTACCACATTTATCATCAGATAAAGGTTAAAACACTATAGTTTCTGTAGAAGTTAATATGATAGCGCCGATTGAAGGATTCATAACTCTTATTGGATAATGAGATAGAGAAAGATAGATGTTACCGTCATACTATTGGTTCAGAATAGACAACAAAAACATGACTGAACCCTGATTGGATGAGGCGGTAATGGATTCGGCATACAGGAGTGAAAAGGCTACCGTTGTAAATCGCGTAGACCCCCCCCCCCCTCCTCTTAAAGTGGAAGGTCTATGTTAATGAAAATATCCCTTGTGTTTTTACTTTCCGAAAGTATGTAATGTTTTGATGCAACCATGAAATATGTTTCGCGATCCGTTTAACCCTAAATTCCTGCTCGGGAGGGGAGGGGGGTCAAATTAACCTACCCCCCGAAGTGCGTTTACATAACTCAAAAAGTATTGGTTGGAGGATGTTAAGATTTTCTGACTTTTCTTAAATGGTCCTAGCCCTCCCTTCAGGTTTAAAACCATGCTTTTATACTTACTGCATCAGTCCTCAGGCACACTGCCTGAATGACTACATTTTCCTATAACAAACTAAATCTATGTTTTGAACCATTTTAAGTTGTCAGACTTTGATAAGTTTTAGGTTTTGGAAAGCTTATGTTATAAGGAAGCAGATTGCACTGTGATTTTGCAAAGCAATTATGCACATTTTAGTTTTTCTTAATTAGACATCAGGTTATTTTGTACAAATGTTAGCATACTTGAAATGGCATGGTTGATGACTTTTCAAAGATGTATATTTTATCATTTTTTCACCTTTTTAACTATACATTATAACTGGATTTTACCATAAAAAAAATTCAATTTTGGCAAAATTACATTTTTTTTTGCAGATTCTTTAAATAGAGAATAAGAGCTTTCCAATGATGTATCTAGTTTGTCAGATTTGGACAGTACCATGGAATTTAGAAGGGGGGTAGCAGCCACCCCTCCATCACTAATTGAAGAGCAAACACCCCTCCCTCTTTGAAGTTTATATGTGTATTCAAATTAATTTGCTTTTTTCCTACTTGTGCGTATAATCAAGACTGCAGGAGCTGTGAGATCACACAGTCGTACCAATATTGTCACATGCAGGATATCCACAAGAAAATGGATAATGCAAATATGCTTGGAATATTTTTTCGAGTTTTATTTGAAACAGTCTCATTCAAAAATTTTAAGATTTTTAAATCCCTTTATCTTCTCTCCGACAGACAGGTTTTAAATAAATCTTTTGGTGCCATTTCAGTTTCTAATCTTGAGAAAGTTGGAACCCAGATTTTTAAAATAAAAAGTTTAAAAATGATCTTTTGAATGTTCTTAAATGATTGATAAATGATAACATTGTACGAAATATTAACCCCTGGACATAATTGTACGGCTCGGAAAGATTTTGTTATAAATTCAACAAAAAAAAAACTTTAAATTGCAAGGTAATAAGGCAAGGAAATTTAATTGCTGTTGCGTATTCTCTGCGTACATATTGAAACCATTTCTCTCTGGGCGGTGTTTGTAAACAAGAAAAGATGCATCAGTGTTCCTCTAGTATCCGAGGAGGATAAAAGTATTTAATTTTGATAATCTTAGTAATTTACATGATAGTTTCCTATGACTAGAATATTTCGTTGATTTTTTATGTGTAAGATGTATCCTATCTCAGGCTGTGACATCCGTCTTGTGTTTACTTTACCGCCCAGAGACAGTACACTGCAGTACACAAAATGCGTACACCTCTGAAATAACTATCTTTACATCGTAAGTCTTTGCTTTAAAGGAAGTTAAAGACTGTAAGCGTAAATATGACAGTACACTGCAGTCTGCAGTACATTAATAGCATAGCATATTCGATTCCAGACGGTATCCTTAAACACTTTATCTGATTCCATATGGTATCCTTAAACACTTTGTCTGATTTTAGACGGTGTCCTTAAACACTTTGTCTGATTCCGGACGATATCCTTAAACACTTTGTCTGATTCCAGATGGTATCCTTAAACACTTTGTCTGATTCCAGAAGGTTTCCTTAAACACTTTGTCTGATTCCAGACGGTATCCTTAAACACTTTGTCTGATTTTAGACGGTGTCTTTAAACACTTTGTCTGATTCCAGACGATATCCTTAAGCACTTTATCTGATTCCAGACGGTATCCTTAAACACTTTGTCTGATTCCAGACGGTATCCCTAAACACTTTGTCTGATTTTAGACGGTATCCTTAAACACTTTGTCTGATTTCAGACGGTATCATTAGACACTTTGTCTGATTCCAGACGGTATCCTTAAACACTTTATCTGATTCCAGACGGCATCCTAAAACATTTTATTTGATTCCAGACGGTATCCATAAACACTTTGTCTAATTGTAGACGGTATCCTTAAACACTTTGTCTGATTTTAGACGGTATCCTTAAACACATTGTCTGATTCCAGACATTATCAACTTAAACACTTTGTCTGATTCCAGACGGTATCCTTAAACACTTTGTCTGATTCCAGACGGTATCCTTAAACACTTTGTCTGATTCCAGACGGTATCCTTAAACACTTTGTCTGATTTTAGACAGTGTCTTTAAACACTTTGTCTGATTCCAGACGATATCCTTAAACACTTTATCTGATTCCAGACTGTATCCTTAAACACTTTGTCTGATTTTAGACGTTATCCTTAAACACTTTGTCTGATTCTAGACGGTATTAGTTTAAACACTTTGTCTGATTCCAGACGATTTCCTTAAACACTTTATCTGATTCCAGACGGTATCCATAAACACTTTGTCTAATTCCAGACGGTATCCTTAAACACTTTGTCTGATTCCATACAGTATCCTTAAACACTTTGTCTGATTTCAGACGGTATCATTAGACACTTTGTCTGAGTCCAAACGGTATTCTTAAACACTTTATCTGATT